TTGCTTTTATAGCTTTAGCAGGACTCTGATGTTTTCCCTCTCACCTGTAGGTGGCGCTGGTTTTCCCTAACAACGATCCGGTGGCCTTCATGGTGGCCTTCTATGGCTGTCTGCTGGCCGAGGTGGTTCCCGTTCCCATAGAGGTCCCGCTAAGTCGCAAAGTAAGTCAACAGGAAGCCGCTGGGTTCCTCCTCGCCATTTGAGCTCCATCTTGAGTCACCAGGGGTTTGTTTCCCTGCATGTTGTCATTGGATGTGATAATCTACAGCGCTGATGTTTAATGTTCCTCCTCTGTCCTGTCAGTTCTGGACCTTGGCCTCCTGCTGAGTTTTATTAAACTCTGGTTTGTGGGAATATCACTGATGCAGAGAGCGCAGCTGTGGATCTACAGTCTTAGCTAATGGTTGGCAACAGGGGAACTAAGAAGTTAATCCAGTCTACATGGGGAGGACCAGGAATATGAACACGTCTGACATCATATGAAGCCCCCCTCCCACTGCTGTTCGCCCATCTTGGAGAAAAGCGTTGTCATCTGGTTTGCTTCTGCATTCTGAACCAGTCGTCAATCTGTTTTTTTTTTTACTATAAGCGCAGCTCATTGCTAATAAAATATATGCTGTGCTGATTGACTGGGTATCCAGCTGCCAGTCGTTTTTCAGCACACACAGTTCTTTGCGCTGCAGCCTGTGCCAACTCTGAGACGCTGCCGCCTGTCACAGTTGGCATGGTTACAGCCTGATTACTGTCTGCAGTAAGGAAATGTCTTGCTGCACACTGTCCATCTTCCTGGGACTCTTCCCCTCATGCAGCCGGTGTGTTTTACATAAAGTCTGCTTTATAGCTTTACAGTAAAAACCATTTTTAATCTCTTTACAGATTCACAAATCAGACGTTTTCTGGCTGGTAATGATTGGTTTATCTTCAATGTTTGATCTGAAGAGTCTAGATTTGACTGATTTAGATGTTTTGTTACAAAAGAAGAAAGAAATATGCTGCAGACCTTTTGATGCTGATAGAGGATTTGAACATTAAAGGGGAAGGCCAGATGTCTGGGGGACAGTGATTCGCCTACATGTTATGAATGCTGGCGTACTGTAAAGAATAAGTTATGAACAGTTCAATTTGTGGCTTCAAGTCGTTGCCAATAGGTAGACGTTACCTAGATATAACCTGACCGAATATATTTAGAACAACTCCATGTGATGTGATAACGTAAAATCAAGGGCCCAATGTACAAAAAAAATGGCGTTTCCCTTTAAGGAATTGCTTTATTAAGGCTAATTCATGCTTCTGACGCATAGCCTCTGCAACCGTCAAAAGCAGCTGTGATTGGTCCTTGGTCCTTCTCGATTCGGTGCCGGAGCGCGCCATTTTTAAAAACCTAGGAACAACTAGAATGGATAACTACGACGAAAGGTTAATCGGTCTTTTTGCCAACTCCATTAACAGAGCTGTTCATCTTTGATGTCTAGAAACTCTAGATCCATTTCTGTGACCATGATATCTTGCAAACCGGCATTGTTTTGGAAAATACTCCCACCGGTGCCGCTGAAGTTCTCGCGAACATCCGCCGAAGTTCTCGCGAGTTCTCAAATAGACTCCCCCCTGCGCTTTGGCGGGAGACTGATGTTCGTCCCTTGAAATTCCAGACCGATGCTGCAGAAGCATTTCAGCAAAACTGGTTCACGACCAGAGCCAAGCGACATTTGATGTTTGTGGTTGCAGAAGACTAATCTGCCCTTTATTATTCCTGGATGTGCCACTAACTAGGAACTAAAACAGTTAAACTTGTTGTTGGCTGTTGTCTTTGCACAACATGAATGTAAGTTTCAGTTATTATGTATGGATGAACTACAGATAGTTTTAGTTGTTATTATTTGACCTGCTGATAGCCAATCAGATCCAACGAATGGAAAGGCGCCTGGTTCTGATCGATCGGTGCATCTTTATGCATAATCAACCCTGTTTTATCTAAATATATATATTTTTTTTAATGTAACCTCTGGTTTCCTGATTCCTTGTTTTCAACAGGATGCAGGGAGCCAGCAGATCGGGTTTTTATTGGGCAGCTGTGGTGTTACCGTGGCGCTGACCAGCGATGCCTGCCATAAGGGTCTTCCAAAGAGCGCAACAGGAGAGATCCCACAGTTCAAAGGTCAGAGTTCAGACCATGAATCAGTTCAGCTCTAATTTCAATTTGAACCATTCATTTCTAAACCCTCCCTGTAGGATGGCCCAAGCTGCTGTGGTTTGTGACGGAGTCCAAGCACCTCTCCAAGCCTCCCAGAGACTGGTTCCCACACATCAAAGATGCAAACAATGACACTGCTTACATAGAGGTGAGCCTACAGCCAAACTCTCTCTTAACCCAACCTGTCTGACATCCAACTGCTAGTTTGCATCTTTATAAATTCAGAATTTCACACAAGAAAATGCAGTTGAAAACACCAGAAATGTATTACCTACTCACCCTGATATTATTATTATTGATATAAGTTTTTATAGTCAGTAGAACTCTTTGTGTGTTTGTGATCAAGTTTGTGTGCATCTGAGGATGGTTGTGTGTGTGTGTGGATGGTAGGGATGAGGATGCATGCGTTGGACCTCTCCTGGGGATTGATGTGTCTGATGGGCGGTAGTGTTGCTTTCACAGCTCTAAGAAAGAATCTGTTTCTAAGGCTATTTGTTCTGGATTTAAAGGGTAACTAATTCCATGTAAAAACATAACCCTGCCCAGATGACACTTTCTGCAACGTGCAACCAAAGTGGTCACTTCCAAGAGACCCTTAGAGGGTTAGTGAAGTGTGAGGAGGAGTGGTGGGGGTTCAGCTAGCTAAGCTAGCCTAGCTGAACCTTCATATTGAGTCATAATGAATCTCTGTTCAGCATCTGTATTTGAAGATGGCTTTTTGAAGCTCAGTGGACCAAAGCTTTAAAAAAAATCGATATGAGCTAAATGTGTTGTAATTGTCCTATTCACTTATAAATTCCTGTTTGTTTNCCGCCGAAGTTCTCGCGAGTTCTCAAATAGACTCCCCCCTGCTCTTTGTTGGGAAACTGATGTTCGTCCCTTGAAATTCCAGACCGATGCTGCAGAAGCATTTCAGCAAAACTGGTTCCCGACCAGAGCCAAGCGACATTTGATGTTTATGGTTGCAGAAGTGTAATCTGCCCTTTATTATTCCTGGATGTGCCACTAACTAGGAACTAAAACAGCTAAACTTGTTGTTGGCTGTTGTCTTTGCACAACATGAATGTAAGTTTCAGTTATTATGTATGGATGAACTACAGATAGTTTTAGTTGTTATTATTTGACCTGCTGATAGCCAATCAGATCCAACGAATGGAAAGGCGCCTGGTTCTGATCGATCGGTGCATCTTTATGCATAATCAACCCTGTTTTATCTAAATATATATATTTTTTTTAATGTAACCTCTGGTTTCCTGATTCCTTGTTTTCAACAGGATGCAGGGAGCCAGCAGATCGGGTTTTTATTGGGCAGCTGTGGTGTTACCGTGGCGCTGACCAGCGATGCCTGCCATAAGGGTCTTCCAAAGAGCGCAACAGGAGAGATCCCACAGTTCAAAGGTCAGAGTTCAGACCATGAATCAGTTCAGCTCTAATTTCAATTTGAACCATTCATTTCTAAACCCTCCCTGTAGGATGGCCCAAGCTGCTGTGGTTTGTGACGGAGTCCAAGCACCTCTCCAAGCCTCCCAGAGACTGGTTCCCACACATCAAAGATGCAAACAATGACACTGCTTACATAGAGGTGAGCCTACAGCCAAACTCTCTCTTAACCCAACCTGTCTGACATCCAACTGCTAGTTTGCATCTTTATAAATTCAGAATTTCACACAAGAAAATGCAGTTGAAAACACCAGAAATGTATTACCTACTCACCCTGATATTATTATTATTGATATAAGTTTTTATAGTCAGTAGAACTCTTTGTGTGTTTGTGATCAAGTTTGTGTGCATCTGAGGATGGTTGTGTGTGTGTGTGGATGGTAGGGATGAGGATGCATGCGTTGGACCTCTCCTGGGGATTGATGTGTCTGATGGGCGGTAGTGTTGCTTTCACAGCTCTAAGAAAGAATCTGTTTCTAAGGCTATTTGTTCTGGATTTAAAGGGTAACTAATTCCATGTAAAAACATAACCCTGCCCAGATGACACTTTCTGCAACGTGCAACCAAAGTGGTCACTTCCAAGAGACCCTTAGAGGGTTAGTGAAGTGTGAGGAGGAGTGGTGGGGGTTCAGCTAGCTAAGCTAGCCTAGCTGAACCTTCATATTGAGTCATAATGAATCTCTGTTCAGCATCTGTATTTGAAGATGGCTTTTTGAAGCTCAGTGGACCAAAGCTTTAAAAAAAATCGATATGAGCTAAATGTGTTGTAATTGTCCTATTCACTTATAAATTCCTGTTTGTTTAACAAAATAACTCAAATAATATATTCTTATATTTTTCAAAATTTTTTCTTTTCTTTTTTTCCCAGTGTCCTGTCTAGCAATGTGGCAATAAGAATAATAAGAATTATTGTCTTGAAGCCAAAAAGGGCTCAACAGATTTAGCTCTCACAAGTGGAGCAGAACGGCTATCGCCATAGTGTTCTGCTTGATTTATGCATATAAATTGCTTTATTCTAATTCATGCAGGGAGTATTACAGATTATATGGACACTGCAATGTAAGTAGAACAGGAAAAGGAGAAGAGATGAAAGAAGGAGGAGATAAAAGGGAGACAATGATAAAACGTCACATTTTTTCACCTACGCAATGCATGCTGGGATAGTGACACGGTTAGGTCTTACTGGACCGGATCCTACAATGTAAACACAGGAAGGTTACCATTAGCTGAGTTATAATAATAATAAGAATTGAGTTGTTTCTTATTGTGTTGTTTTTGGTCTAAATATAGACAATACAGCACTGTGTTACTGCCTCAAAATGTGTTGAGCCGAAACAAACAAATGTAATCAGCTTGTGATGTACTGTTTGCTATATTAACTAGTGCTACCACCATTAGCAGAAGCTAACATGAAATCGACATCACGTCAGTAGATAAAGATCTACGGTTTAAAGTGACAGTGAAGCATCTTTCAGTCGTTGTAACCCATCATTCTGATATACCAGATAGCATGTTTTGATCCTGATGGTAACTGAACAGCCCTCTTCCTCCATTTGGTCCCCCTCATCATCATCCCCTACTGTAATTTTTACATTCTCATTAATTCAAAGGGGCTCAGGTTCAAACTGAAAGATTTAACGTCACTGATTACTGTTTTGGCTTGCTGGATCTAGCATACCTCGTTTACCCAGAATGCCTTGGAGCATAAACAACATATTATTTTACCAAACAGCCTTAAGTATTTTTACTGTATTTTCTCTTTTTTTTCTTTACATTGAAAATAAATATTTCTAATTGCTGCAACTAAATCTGTTTCCTTCACGAAGCTTTCGACATCCCTAGTGCAGAGGATTAGAAGCTAGTTAAAGGGGCAGCTTTGTTTGGGTGAGTTGTATTTCTACCCAAAGTCAGCTATGATGATGACGGGCTGCAACACAAACCGTTTGAACCAATAGAAGAATTCAGCTGCAGCAGCCACAAATGAACCACTTCAGCCATCACTAAGGCAGACAAATATGGCAGAACTAAAGAAACATCACATGAAAATGTAACAAAATGCAGAGTTACATTTAACTTTGCACCTTATAGCTCTGGTTTATACTGTTTATCTGTTAAAAATAAGGTTGAATTTAGGGTGAGTTATTATTTAATGTTATGTACTGTTTTCTTAATTGAAGTAGGAGTCCTAAATAAAGCAGAGCACCATTACAATCCTTTTGCCTCCTGTGAGCTTAATGTAAACTGTTTTAGTGATTAGGAAAGGAGTTTATAGTTTTTTGGTGATTTTTGTCCCCAAACTTAAAGGTTTTATTTGACTTATGCATCTTGAAGCTTTTGAAGGCGTATTTTTGTGTTCACGTTCACTGATCAAACCCCAGTGAAAGCCTCCCTGTCGTCTGATTGCGATGATCCATCTGTTGTTTTCTCTGTCAGTATAAAACCTGTAAGGACGGCAGCGTGCTGGGAGTCACAGTGACGAGGATCGCTCTGCTAACACACAGTCAGGCTCTCACCCAGTCCTGCAGCTACACTGAGGGTACCCTCACAGACACACACAGACTCACACAGATGCTCCATGCTCTGCTGAAGGGATTTAACCTGCCTCTCCTCCTCTAATTTAGCGGAAACCATTGTGAACGTCTTGGACTTTAAGAAGGATGTGGGATTGTGGCATGGCATCCTGACGGTGAGACCAGCTGCCTCTTCCAGATCAAACATCACAAGGTGCCTTCAGTTGAGGTTACATAGCTGTGAATGCGTCTGTGTTTGCAGAGCGTGATGAACATGATGCACGTGATCAGCGTGCCGTACTCCCTGATGAAGGTCAACCCTCTGTCGTGGATCCAGAAAGTCTGCCAGTACAAAGGTCAGACTCAGACTCCCCCCCTTCCATCACTCAGCTGTCTGTCAAACAGATTAAACAGCAGTTCTGTTTGTGTGCTTCTACCTGCAGCCAAAGTGGCCTGCGTGAAGTCCAGAGACATGCACTGGGCTCTGGTGGCCCACAAAGACCAGAAGGACATCAACCTGAGCTCGCTACGGATGCTGCTGGTCGCCGACGGATCCAACCCCTGTAAGGCCCCCCCTCACCCCTCACAGCTGGGCTCCACCACCGACTTAAGGTGGTTTCAGGTTGAAGATGTCAGTGAGGCAGAGGAGCTCCCTGGAGATGACAGAATAAAGCCCAACTCTGTGTTTACATCTCTACAATCAAGGTTTTCAAGCATAGTTAAAGTATAAAACTTCTATGAAACATTTTAGAGCAGGGAAACAGATGAACCCCTTAGTGGTTTAGATTCTATTGATGCTGAGGAACAATCTATGCCTCGACTGGATGTGGAGTCAATGTTAGTTTTCTGTTTGGTCCTCCAGTGTTGTTGCTCTTGCTTTTTAACACATGCCTTATGTTGGATATGTCAGCTCTAAAAGTAAAAAAAAAATGTTTATTGTGACCAATATAACACTTAGATTGAACCCTAAATTAAAATGTAGTAAATAATAATACAATTATTTGTTGCAGCAGCAAGCTCTTAGACTAAAACTTAAGAAACAAACTTTCATTTATATTGAGTTCAATCATTTAATGAAAAAAAACTGAGACTTCTTTGTGCTTTATCTTGTACATGTAACTTGATCAAAACATCTAATTAATTTGTTTTAATGGAATCC